GCTTGGGGAGCCATCCAGCCCCTGCCTCTTGGGATGGTGTGTGGGGACAGTATTCAAACCCCAGAGAGCTGACTTCGGAGCCTGAGATGCCTGGTCCTGCTCCTAGCGTTGTTTATCTGCAATTACCCCGGGAGGCCCTTCCTGTAATTAACCCGAGCCTCCCTGATACCGCTGTTTGCACATCAGCCCCTCCTAACACTGCCTCTTCCTCATTCTAAGCTGGGAAGATGAGTCACGGAAGGAGATGGCTTATCTCAACTCAGGTTTTAACTAGCCTTTGTCTCCCAGAGATATTTGTTCATGATACAACATTTCAAACCAGGCGTTCCCCAGCCCGCTTTCTTCAACTTCTTTTTTTAAATAACATTTTCTTCCTTGTCTGTTTTTCTATTTCTTCCTCTCCCTCCCATAGCCTTTCATGCATTCAGGATGTAGGAGAGCCAGCATCAAAGCCCGGAGCCCTTGCGCGTCCTCCTCCCCTATGGTAAGCGTGCCCTTTCCCTGTCTGATCATTGACTCATAACCACAGAACGACCCAGGCACAGGATGGGGGAGGGGGGGCTGAATAAGCCGGGACCACGGTCTGCAGCCCCGGAGGAGACAAAAGTGGAGGATTTGTTCAACAGGGCTTTTTTTCCCCCTTCCCTTTGGGGATAATTGTTTAGGACAATCAGCTGACCCAGTCCAGGGATGGTGGGGAGAGTGGGGGGAGGAGAGAAGGGGGAGCCAGCACCCCCACCCCCACCCCATCCACTGGCAACTCCAACCAAGTGAAACTCATCTGGTCAGGCTCCAAATCCATGGCCAGGACAGCCCTAAACCCACTCCCTGGGGACCACCAAGACATTTGATTGCATTATGTGACTTTAATTCAATGGAACATTCATGTATTGCGCGCCTACTATGTGCTGGAGTTTGAGTTGCCAGGTGCAGCCACAGGCTTGAACCCTGTGGAAGTTAACGCCCCCGTTCTTCAAGACAGCATGTGCAGGCCAGCGGTGGCCGAGCTCCCCACCCCCGTTCTTTCCTCCCTGTCTCCATTAGGCATGAATGGGTGTCACATCTGTTTCTTTTCTTGCTGGGAAGTAAGAGGCAAAGACCCTAAAATGGGGACAGACCAGCACACACCTGGGTGGTCTTTAAATTAGAAAAAGTTTTTGCCAGAGTTCTTCCTTTGGGCCTGCAGCCTCAGTACCACCCGTGGTGGTGGGGAGCGGTGGGGAGAGGTGGGGTGGGGGCAGCAGGACCTGGCGGGCACAGCAGGGGCCATCCAGTGCCCTGGTCTAAGGCTCACACCCTCTTTCCAGCACTGGCTTCCTCACTGGGCAGACCAAGCATGGTCCGAGACACTCACAAAGCAGGGGCAGCGGCAGGGATGGGCGAGGAGGCAGTCCGTTCAGTGTTAGCCTGGGTGTACTGTTCAGGTCCTTCTGAAAATTAAATTGTTTATGTTATGGTTTGGATTCATTTTATTGGAAGCATAGGATCTGAAGCCAGCCTGTCTGGGTCAAATCTCTGTTCTGCAACTATGTGGGTCTCAGTTTCCTGATCTGTAAAATGGGCGTAATAAAAGTTCTACTTTATTGGGTTGTGAGGAATAGTAAATAGTATGTTAGACAAGATGCTGGCTCTGGTTAGTCGCTGGTGACAGCCCCCCGTGTCTGCATTTGCCCTCCTGTCCTGCGTGGAGACACTTCCCTCTGAGTGGTTTTGTGTCCCTGAGAAACCTGGACATCGGCGGTCTCACTCAGTGCCCCTTTCTCATTTATAATCACAAAGGAAGCAGTCTCAGCTGCCCGGGATCAGTCACTGTCCCAGAGGCACTAGCCTCCAGGCCTCTTCGTGGTCTAGATTTTTGTCTCCCTCAGAAACATATCTGGTCTCAGGCTTTGTTGGAGTAGTGTTGCCAGATAAGTACATCTCAGATATTGCCTGGGGACATATTTATGATAAAAAATTATTCATTTATTTTCTGAAATTCAAATTTCACCAGAGAGCCTGTATTTTCATGCGCGGAATCTGACAGCCCTGCCTGGGGTTTGTCCCCACTGGTGTCTGGTCAGCCGTCCGGTGGACAGAGGTCTGCTGGGCTTCTGGGGCTGGTCCTCCTCAGGTCTATTCAAAAGCTCTAGGTGGATGGAAGGAGAGAGGGAGAGTCACAAGGACAGGCGGTTCTCAGAGTAGATGTCATGACTGGCTGAGGACAGAAGACTATGCCTTCTGGAGGTTTTGTGATTTTTCCAGACTCCAATGTAGTATTTACGGTGTGTGTGTGTGTGTGTGTGTGTGTGTGTGTGTGTGTAGAACAGGGGCACGGGAGGGATACAGTTAGTGGCTTCTGTACATCTGGGCTGTGTTGATGAGTCCTATGAACTATGTGATATATAACATATATGCCTTTCATTTTTGTATAAACACATAGAATGTTTAGCCAAATGGCTAAACTGTCTGGTACAATTGCCTGAAACTTTCCAAGTGCTTTTTGCTCTGCTGACTTTTTCCGAGTTACTGCAAGTCCTAGTTTATTCATGAATGGGTGACATTAAGTAGAGAGGGACTGACTGGACCACGGGGCACAGCAGTGTGTTTCCGTTTTGGAATTTACCACGGGAACTGCCAAGTGAGCCTGGCTAGGTTTTTGTGATTGTTATGTGAGGGTCAACTGATAAAAATAATTAGTATTACTTATAATCATGAATAAAAAGTAAAACCACTGCCTTAGAGGAGGTTTATTAAGAGTATTTGTTTTATGGAAGATGCTTCCCACTGAGCCAATCATCATCCATTGGGCTTGTATTGTCGGGGAGCAGTGTTGCTGGAGTGAGAACGCTGTCTGGAAAATGTACGTGCGTGCATGCATGTGTGTATTTCTTTTTCTTTTTTTTCTCCAAAGAGAGTGAAGAGAGAATATGTAGTCTGTAGCCACAACAGTGATGTGATTCAGACCCAGTATTTATAGAGGCAAATTAGTTGATGCACCAGAAGCTAATATGGCCGATGCCAGCCTGGCTGGGGGGTGGAGGGCTGGGTGGGAGAGGGTGTGCGGTATTTCTCCAGGAGATGGTTAATGGAGACCCAAGTAAGGGTCCTCAAGGTAGAGAAACCCCTCAGTTACTAATCTAAAAGGAGGCTTGTTGGGTTCTTAGCATCTTTCAAAACTTTTTCTCTATTTGCAAAGCGTGAAGAAATACAGTTTTCTGTTTGTTATATCAATAGGTTCTCATCCAAGTCCCTGCAATAAGTAAGTCAATAAATAAATGAGGTCATAATTTCTCAATTAGATCCTAGAGGCGATGGCTAGGAAACATTTTTACAGAATTAAAATCCTAGCCTATGTTTAGAGTTGCTAGATGATACTCAGCTGCTCGGAGCCTGATCCTTTCTAAAGCAAGCATGAGTTCTTTTGCCTATTAATTCTATAGCTTCCCTTTAAGAGCAAGCGACTAAGTTGCAGTCATAGTTCTTGGTATGGCAGGAAGTCAGCAACAAATTCTAGGAGATTAAAGGAGCTGGGACATAAGAGTAAAAATATAATGGAAGCCACTTTTCCACAGAAATGGTTTCCAACAGATGTGCAGAAATCCTGGGCCAACAATAATATAATTTACATTTACCCACTTTACCTGCAAGAAAAGTTACTTTGTTTCCATTAGATTGACAATGTGTACTATTATAAATTATAAATAGTTTGACCTAAAAATATTATATATGTATATACTATTATATATTATAAATTATAAATATATTTGACCCCTTCCCTTACATCTTACTTTACATAGTATTTTTGGTCTAACTTTTGGAAGTAAGTCACTCCGGAAACCTGCGACACTGGTTGCCTCCATCCCATTTTAAGATTCTTTTTTTTAACTTAATTATAAGGAGATGGCATCTCCTTCTGTTCACAAGTCTTGCTTACCTAGGAAAGCCCATCCTTTTTCTTCTCAAATCCTATTTAATTTTCGCATTTCCTGATTTTTATCTTGGGAAAACACAAGCCAGCTGCAGCCAGTTAAGGAAACAGCTGAAGGATGCTGGCAGGTAGAGGTCTTGTGGGTTTTTAGTCTCAAATTGTGAGAACTGAAATGTAACGTGTCAGGTTGCAGTGACTTCTGCACCTCCCAGCTCCCCCTCTACACACACACACACACACACACACACACACACACACACACACACACACACACANACACACACACACACACACACACACACACACACACACACACACACACACACAGGCGCACGCACGCACACGCACGTCCCCTTTCCTCGAGTCTGGCCCAGTGTCCCCCTCACTTTCTGCAGCTGTATTTCTAATCAGCAAAAGATACATCTTGCTTGGAGCCAACACCCCTTCTCTCTGCATTCTTAACCTCCTATCTTATGCATGGATCACTGGTTAGCTTAGAAATGCGCAGACACAAAGGAGAAGCTGACATTCGAGGTTTGACCGCCATAATGGCTGTTTATAAGCCTAATCCATCACGTTTAGTGGACACCTCCATTTTTGTCCCTCTGAAAAGGTATAAATAATAAAATGGGATGGCTCCAGCTCAGAGGTGCCTTGGTAAATATTTTAACTATTTACAAGATCGAACCAATAACAAAAGAAGCATCTGTACCGTCCACACAGCACCCCCCGCCCCCAGTCATTAAAAGGGACCCAGATGGTTCCTACCATTCAACCAACAATAACATTTCTTGATGGCAGCTTTTGTAACATGACTTACTCTTTTTTTTTTTTCATATCACATTGTGATATTCTGAACTTGTCCTCCTCTGTCTCTGCCGCCCCCAGCAACCTTGCTGAAGAAAATCCCCCTAAATAGCCCTTCCTCCTATGGGAAGAGTGGGGCCTTGTAGGCAAATGTAGGTTTCAAAGCCCAATTCAGAGACAAGTCTGAACAGTGATAACCCGGGCCTCCTCCAAATGCAAATATTGACAGGGGCCCACTCATTCTGTGGGTAAACACCCCAGCTGAGCGCAGAATGTGCCCTGCCATCTCAGACTGTGTGCCTGACTTCGCCTCATTTGGTTTGAATTTACCCTTTCCTGCCAGGCATAAAGAAAGGACCTCGGGGGTCCCAAGGAACCCCGAGGATAACTTCTGGAGTTGAAGGCATTTCTTCTCTGCGGACCACCCTGAGCCTGACTATGGGGCCAGATCAGCGGTAAGGACATTATGTGGCTTTTGAAATCTTTCAGCAAGTCGATTCCTCTTTGGTTCTGAGCATGAACAAAACAGGGGAATCTGCAGCCATAGCCGCTTCTTAGTAACCTGTTGGACACTTGAGTGCTCTCTGAATCACCAGGAAAGTCAACTTTTTAGTTACAGAAAAGATAGCAGAGAGAGAGAGAGAGAGAGAGAGAGAGAGAGAGAGAGAGAGAGAGAGCAGGCGAGTGGGGTGGTTCGGGGGCCCAGGTAGATCTGATGTTCAGCATCAGCTCTGGGGCCCAAGGTGGAACCCATCTCCATTCTGAGCGTCAGTCAGTTTCCAGTCTATAATGTAAAATGCAGGGGCAGTAATCTTAGAAACTTCCGAGAGTGACTGTGTGCATGACAGGAGACGGGATATTTAAAGCAGGCGGCTAAGCGCTCCATGATGCTACCATGAATACTAACAAACCTATCACAGAGAGAGCAAACCTTTTGAAACTAGCAGATAAGGCAGACAGCAATTTTGCTGCTTCACGGGCATTTGAAGCTTCCTCCTGGGGAGAAAACAAACAAACAAACAAAAAGCGAAAGACCATGTGACCCATCTCCAGGTCTTTGGGAAACCTCAGCGTTCATTTCTTTTTCTGAAGGCTCTATTTAATTTTGGAGCTCCCACTTTCCAAATTTGGTCAATAAAATTAACAGCCTCCTTTTGAGTGGAACATCACACCTCCAAATGAGCTCAAGCTGGCCGGCAGGCCGGCGATTGTCCCTCGGAATGTGAGATTTACATTTCACAGCTCCTCGCCAAGTAATGAATGGATCAGACCTCGTAAACAGACGATCCTCACTTCCCTTGTTCCACGGCCCCCAACGTGGGGTGTGTGCTGCAAAGAAAAATATTTATCCTGTTTGTGTGGCGCTGGGTCCCTGAATGGCCCCCCAATAAAACAACATCATAAAGGGCATTTCACAGCTGAGCTCGCAATTTAATAAACAGATGCAAACAGGAGGCCTTGGAGGTCAACAATTAAAAATAAACCAGCCCGAGGTTCTCCTTGGAATTCCCCTTGTCTATAAAGTGGAGCGGACCAGGCCCCCACAGCTGTGGCAGGGGCGGGTGAGGGTGGGGAAGGTTTCCAGGCCCAAATGAGCTCTGGGGGGCTGTACCTGTTCTGAACGATTATTCCAGCAACTGCTTTCCTAGCAAGAAAGGGCAACTTTGAAAGCAGACAAGAAAGAACTCATGGGTCCAAAGTGGGCTGGAAAGTGGTAACTTTGGTTGACAGCAAATGCTGCCTGTCAGTTTCTCTGTTTTCTGTACCCAGGACAGTAAATATTGGAGCAAATTATTGGAAACAGTGGTGAGTCAATGACTCACTACCGTATGGTTGGTTTTGGAATGGGTTTTCTACTTGAGTTGGAAGTGTGTCAGTGTGTGTGTGTGTGTGTGTGTGTGTGTGTGTGTGTGTGTGTGTGTGTGTGTGTGTGTGT